ATATATTTTAAAGATGTATTAATTTGCTGCATGTTAATTGCTGCTGAGTAAATAACCCTGCTTATTTGTGGTTTTGTTTCTGTTATTTTTTGAAGTAAAAAATAACAGTGAATCTTATAAATATTTAATAGAATACTCAAAATATCCTCAAGACATTTACAGATTTTATGTTTCTGTGTGTGTATATTTAATAATACAATATATCTTTATTTTTCAGTATTGCATTTGTCCCTAATTTTCTTCAGGAAATTGAGATATATAATCTTTTCTTCTTGCTATCTCCTATTTCTAAGAAAAATGCATCTCTAGATATGAGAACAGTTTACTTCTCTTTTTGATGATAAACTAGGCTTATCAGTAACAGTAATATGTTTTCCCACATTAGAAGTGTCTTACTTTCTCACCTCACTATATGTATTATTGCTGTTTTCACATCTTAGGTTGTTAACTTGGCTAACACTAGATACTGCTATTATTTTTGAATAAACTCACTTACTTTTAACTAACATACAGAATTTACATTTAAATGAGCAGAAATGTTCTGTAAAGAGTTGCTATCATGCCTAAGGATAAATTAATCTACCTTCTACCAGGATAATAAAAGTGTTCCTATCTGTACACAGTATCTCTTTCTTTATTTACCATGAGTTTCATGGTGAGTATTGTGTGTCTTGCAATTCTCTTTACCTTGGAAGCAATACTAAAATAATATAAACTCAAGTTTTTAAGAAGTTAACTTGTACATTATAATTTATGATGAGCATGAAAATTATAGAGTTGAGTCATAGAATTTAAATGATTTGTTATATTATATAAATATATTTTTTGTTAATTACCCTAAAACGTCTATTTTTAAAATTTTATCCTGTATTTACTTCTTCAGTTATGCAGTTAATTCTCAGAAAATCTCTAGACATTCAATATATTTTATCAAAAGTGTAATGCTTCTGCTGTTAATCAGCTTACTGTATTACACAATATGGATACAAGGAAGACATTTCTTGCCCCAAATGAGAGATGTACTTGTTGTCCTTTAGAGATACATTGAAAATTTTTTTAATATAAGATTTCAGCATTAGAGAAATAATTTCTTTATGAAAAGGAAAAAAAGAATAAATAGCTTCACTTTTTACAAGTTTATTTTTTAAGAAAACCTTTTACATTTATTTATGGCATCTTTACAATCTAAGTGTGAAATGAGCCTGTCTAATTTATCATAGACTATAAGTTCTAGGATAATTTTCACTAGTATCTGCAAATTACTTTGAAATTTTGTATTGTGCTGGTGGTTGTTTTTTCTTTTCTTTCTTTCTTTCTCTCTCTCTCTCTCTTTTTTTTTTTTTTTTGAGTATTTTTAGTATTCTTTTGTCATACCTACAGAGATGCTCTACATTGAGCTTTTGTTTTTATGGAGTTGAATCATTGTGATGGTCGAATGTAAGTGGTTATAGAAAAGAAGGCCCACTGCCTTATTCTTCCCTGTTACATTGTGCTGTAACTGAGAATAGGAAAAGTAAATCGAGAATAGGAAAAGTAAATGAAATAAGTAGAAAGCTGTGCTAGATACTTGGAAATTTAAAAAGTCTTTTAAGAGCAACTATAGTGAAGGGAAAAATAACTCAAAATGGACAACTTTACAAGATGATTATAAAATTATTTTTCCCTTAGAAATCCTCAGCTCAATGTCTCTCTGTGCTATTATAGGCTTTTAAAGCTGAGTTGTAAACAATAAAAAATAAAAAAAAAATAAAACTGAGTTGTTACAATACTGGCTCCTGTTACGGTATTATCAGTCAAGATGAATTAGCTCTGTTTGTGGAAGGGCTATTAAACAGGTCCTCTGCAAACGCTTGCCACTTGGAATAGGAGCCCCTAAATAATGCAGAGCGGTAATTGGTATTTATCCAGGTAAATGATGCATGCAAAAATCTGAACTATTTTACACATATGTTACAAATTATAAACTATTTATTAAAAAATAGAACCATGAAAGATAGCAAGTTACTAGAAATGATATCACTTTTTAAAAGACAGCAAAATTATTTACCTTAAGAAAGATTTAAATCTAGAGATGCATGGTTCCTAACATTTTATATGGCTTGCCCTTCGGCGGTCTTGGAAAACCTATGGCCATTCTTTAGAAGAATGTTTTAAAATGCCTAAAGTAAAATAAAGTAAATTAAGTGGAGGTACAAAGAAAACTACTTACACTGAAATATAGACCCCAAGTTAAGAACCAAAGTTTAGGCACTAAAATATTTTATGCCTTGTAAATGCATATTTCCCACATCTCAGTTGCTATCATTCAAAATTAATTACTTTTAAGTTCTTATCTTAAAACTAAAATTCACTAAGAATTTAGGTAGAAGTTGTCAAGGTTTGTATCTCATTCCCTTAAAGAACCTGCTATAAGACTGGGTGTTATATGTAAGACGTAGGCATTGCTGCTTTTAATTTTCTTTTTTTTTTTTTTTAAAGGTTTTATTTATTTATTTGAGAGAGAGAGAATGAGAGACAGAGAGCATGAGAGGGAGGAGGGTCAGAGGGAGAAGCAGACTCCCTGCCGAGCAGGGAGCCCGATGCGGGACTCGATCCTGTGACTCCAGGATCATGACCTGAGCTGAAGGCAGTCACTTAACCAACTGAGCCACCCAGGCGCCCTGCTTTCAATTTTCTAAGTAATTGTCCTAGTTCCTACTTAGGAAGGCTTATTCTCACCCAATTGTGGGAGCAGGAGCCTGTGTTGATCTTCTGTTGTGTTATCTAAGTTTAAAATATGGTAGCTTTTTATTCCCCTTAACTATGGTAGACATTTTAGGAAATTGCTACCTTCTACTGTGGGTTTTTTGTGTATGTCTGTGTTTCACTTATCAACCAATTTTCCTTTCACACTATGGAAATCGTATAATTCATATTATTTATGAATATGGAGAGAAGCATTACAAGCAGAATTTAAAACATTGACATAGTCTTCAAACAACTTTTCTGCTAAAGAGAAATTTTAATAAGGGATATTTCCTAAAGAGTGACCTGTTTGCTTTATATAAAAGTAACAGTATCCTTTTAAGGACATAGCAACAAATTTGAAATAATTCTCTGGATTTCACTCACAATCATGTATTTCAATTATTTAAAATATAGTGTCAAAGAAGTAAGAGTATATATCCTAACATCTTAGTTTTCACTTGGGAAAATTGCTTGATGGAATCAGAATAAATCAAATTTTGCATAAATACAGGAAAGATTAGCCTGCTTTTCTGTCAAAGATATTCCACAAAATTTTGTCACTACATGTCATATAATAAGATAAGTTTATTATTAATTTAAGATAATAGGAAATCTGAAAATAATGTAAAGATTGGTCTCTCTAAAAAAAATAGGTTTTAAGGAATCTAAGATATATATGTTCCTTTGCTTCTGCTTATGTACTGTGATGAAGCTATACAAAGATATGTACACTAAAAACATTTAACAAACTATTTAGCACATTTATTTCTAAAGAAAAGTGTTCTCTCTCAAATAGTTTTTCAGGAACAGAAATAGAACTATAAATTTTTATACCATCAGGTTGCCTTTTTTATATCTCTCTTTGAAAGTAGTTAAATATTGTATATGTATTTACACTTTGTATATGTCAGCTTTTTTGACATATCCTGGATATACTTATATTAAAATACTAAATTTATCTTAGGAAATCAATCATATCATGGCACATGGATTTTAAAATATTAGAATGATTTGACTGATATATTATTACCTTGTAAATTTAAAGTGTAAGAGAATGACAAGCTATATTGTAGAATAAACCCAGCATTCACTTCCTAAAGTCATCTAATCTCATGTCTGCTGGTCCAAAATTATATGCCATATAATTAAATACATGTGGGAAATTGTGTCCTTTCTTTTCTTGTTTTTCTTTAATTGCCCGCATTTTTCATTATCAAAAATGAGATTGGGAGAACTTACAGGTGAAGTGGAAGTTGTTTAAATTAGTCTTGGGGGAGACTAATGCTTGTTTTTACAGTCCATAATATGTAAGCATTTCCATTTCTATGGTTACAACTAGATGGGGAGGGCACAGTTTGAAGTATAATTTGGCGTATGTGTTACTTTGGAGCTCTCGAGCCAAAATTGTGTTCTTAGGGTTGTCTCGCAGATAGTGGGGCTGGTGTTGGAAAACATTTATTGATCACACATTAGGTGTTAAAAGCATGCTAAATTCCAGGGATACAAAAGTCAGTAATGATGGATTCCTGAAATTTAAGTATACTTCTTTCAACAAGGGTTCGGTTTTGATATTGGTCCTACTTGTGGTCAAAGAGATCCCATTGTTTCAGAACCATTATTATTTTTGATCTGTTAATACATTTCTGAATGGTATCGGTTGGCATTGCTAAAGTGCCCCCAAATAGGGGGCATAGACTGGCTGATTAACCAGTTGTCTGTGATTCTTCCTGTGGACCATGTGTTTAAGTATGACTAGTAGGACTACAGCCTGCGAAGTTGCAGTGTTCTCTTACAACATTTCGATTCTTCTCTTAGAATGTTTGGGTGCATCAATATACTATTTTTGTGCCTAAAGCCTTTTTATAGTTCAGCTGACATATAATAACCTTAGTGGCTTTAGAATTAATGCTTATATGGTTTTCTTCACTCTTAACGAAAAATGTTAGGAAAAGCCATTGAATTCTTTGAAATAGAATACTTCACAATATTTCACCTGTTCCATTTAGGGAGCTCATTTTGGAAAGCAGACAATTTCGTTTGTCACTGATGACAACTGAGCAACTCCTAGTAGCTTCATTGGGAATTGCTGTTAAAGGCAGATTTGGGTTTCCTTAGATACGCTGAAGAAGTTTAGTGAAAATTGCTCAGAATATGTTTTTGCGAATTCGATAATATTAAACAATGACCTTTTTCAAAATCAATTTGATGCATCATAACCAAATAGCAGAAGGGCACTGAAGATCAACTGAGCTGCTTTTTGACTAACGTTTCAGGGATTGTGAAGCAGCAGATAGACAGCCATATCACAGATCCAGATCAACAGAACAACGGCCTCTCCTAGAGCGGACCACCACCCGCTCCAGATCCACTGAGCGTCCTGATACAAACCTCATGAGGTCGATGCCTTCATTAATGACTGGAAGATCTGCCCCTCCTTCACCTGCCTTATCGAGGTGAAAGATAAATCAATCAGACTAACCTCCCCTTTGCCCCACCAGCACACCTATTTATTTTCCCAGCAGCTAAATGGTCTCTTCTATCATCCTTGGCTGATCACTAATAACAATCGATACTAACCTTTTCAGTGTAAGCACACTATTTATATTCAGTGGATATAATAGTGTGTGGCTACCATTGTAATTTGTTTTTAACTGTCCTGACCACATTTGTTTTGTGATTTCTCATTTATCAGGAGTCCTGGGTAAATCCCCCCATAATGCACCTCATAACTATCATGTTCTTCTCCTACAGAATGAGAAATTGTTTGTGTCCATTAGACATCACTTTTGGAATAATCATCATAATGACAATGACTAAAACTAGATTTTTGTTTCTTTCTATCAATACTAATATCATGTATTAACCAGTACCTTCTTTAGTTGAATTTTGAATTGTTCAGGGTTTTATTTGTAGTTTCAGGAGATATTTTCTAATAAAGGGATATCTAATATAAGCCTGAGTAAAAATCTCCTTGGATCAAGGGAGGGAGGTTAGTAGTGCTGAGAGTTTAAAATCTGGTAGAAAGAAATGTAAAACATTACCTTTTATGTTTTGAGCTGCAGAACTCTCCTGTTGCTTTCGAATGGATAGAATACTAATTTACATGAACAATTCCATGGACGTTACTGTAGGATTTTGTGTGCATGTATCTGTGTATGTATGCATATGACGCAAAAGTAGAAACATCTTCCGACAATCATTCAAATATCCATATTTTGTCCTACTTTCCTAACCTTTTAATCAGCAGCTACACCTCTTTTAAAATTGCACTTGCACAGCTATCATATGAACCAAATGTATTCAAATTATTTCATTCATCCTACTGAAAATGAGCATCGATGGTGTATCTTGTAGGTCTCATCCTCGTACTGGGTCAGTCCAAACCAGCCCATCAAGTACTCCAGTGGCAGGACGAAGGGGCCGGCAACTTCCACAACTTCCGCCAAAGGGAACATTGGAGAGAAGTAAGTTTTATTTCTAATTATGTCATGTAGGAAATACACATGGAAGCTAAGGTGAATCAAGATTTTTTTTACTACCTTTGTGTTAGCATTCTTTTGTTAATTGAACGCCTTAGCCGCATTTGCTAGTAGTTATATTTATAAATATATTTATAAATGTTACATATTTTGCATTTAAAATTTGTAATATTTGGAGGTAAAATAACCTACTGTTATTGCTCTTGCACATTTTCAAAATCTGAATAAATGCATTTTAAAGAGTAAACTTAATACTCTTAAATAAGCAGTTGGATGATGTTTCTTTGCTACAACTAAGTGTATGTAATTGTTGATAGTTACATAAAGTTTATTAGTAACTAGCCAAATCAATTTTCACACACTGCAAAGGACTGGTTAGCTGATGCACAACAGTGGTGATCCTTCTCAAAACTGGAGAACCAGAGAAAAGGTAATCATGAATATACAAAGAAAGATGCATGTTGTACTGATATTTTTAATACTTTCAAATTTTTGCCTAAGAAACACTATTTGTTTATACACAGATGAGCATACTCCCCAAACATCTATAAATTCTTAGATAAAGGACCTCTAAAAGCATGGATGATAGAATATAATAAGTTTTAACCTCATTTTTTAAATGGTCCCTTTATTTAGTAACTGAATGTGCTTTGCCAAAAAAATACATATATATATATATTTAAATCACCATTTAACTTTTCTTTAATGGATGATACATACATTTTGTGCCTTTGGAAATTTCTGTTGTTTTTAACCCCTGTGCTTTGGTTCCCTTTTTTGTTTTGTTTTTATTTTGTTTTTCCTAGACAATGGAGTCAAGGAGATAGAACCTTATGAAGGTCTGTACATAAAGGAGGGTTTGTTTTGTGCTGACAGCCTTTTTGGGGGGCTGTGTAAGCAAAAATAAACCCAACTGCAATTGATGTCCCTCCATTGTGTAGACTTTTATATATGGTAAATGATTTTCTTTTATGATTTTTGGTATTCAGCTTTTGCTTTACTTGGAAATTACACCAAGGAGTTAAGTTTCTTTGATTCATTTAACTAAGAATGCAAAGAGTTGAACTTCCTTTAAATGACAAGATAAAATGTTCTGTTTCTAAAAATTTTAATTTGCCTTTCAAGCAGAATTCTATATGTCGTGGACTTTTAACCAAAGATATCAATTGCAGTCTGTGTTTATGTCACTGAAGATGTACACCTAGTCTAGTGATACTTATCATCATATATTTCATTTCGTATTTATGATGATCTTTCAGTTATTAAATTTGGCTTTCTAGAAAAGAAAGTTGTTGAATTAGATAGTGATTGTGGTTTGTATTTCCTACATCACTTTTTATGTTGTACCAAGACTGTTTACAGTATACCAAAGTTAAATATATACAGTTTTATTATCTACACTACATTTATGCCTCAAGAGAAAATATTGAGTCATGATATATGGAGTGTAATACATTTACTAAATAATAAAAATTCCTCTGCCAATGAAAGAATTCTGAAATTAACTTTGTAAATTTAAAGAATTGTTAACTGTTTTATTTACTTATGAATTTCCAGCACATAGAATAATGCCTGGCACATTATAGGCCCTCAAAAAATATTTGTTGAATGAATGCATGAAACACTGTTTAAAAATTGAAAAACTACTTCAAATAGTGTATAATATATCCCTAAAATAATCTTGTCATTCTATAGATGTTTCTATTAAAATATGTTTTATATTAAGATATCTATAACCTATTTGTAACAAAATTTTAAGTGCACTGCATTTGGGAAGCAATACTTTTATTGCTTTATATAACTTGGAACAGTTGTGTTTTTGTTAGTTACTGAGTGATTTATGGCCTTCTATATTGAGGTTCTTTCTATCCTACGTACCATGATTTTAAGCAACTCCATGCTATTATGACTAATGTTTTCTTATGCTGTCTGACAAGGAGATTACAGCAGCATTTCTGTAGTTCTTAATTATTTGCATTAGAATGGGTTACATAATTTTAAAAAGTACTTTCCAGAAAGAAAGTTCTGTGGTACGTAGGAAATTTTTTGTCTCCCCAGGATATTTAAAGACAGAGTTTGACTTCACTTGGCATATGAAGTCAGAAACGTAGTTTATGTCACAACTTTTTAAAAAATTCAGCTTTAATATTTTTTATAGCAATACTCTGTTGAGATGTGAGTAGTTCTGTTCTTTGTAATAATAAACCTACCAGAAAGTCAACATAGAGCTAATGCTGAAAGTCGGGGTTCAGGAAGTTTTTAATGGGCTTGTCAACCAACATTGTATATGCCATCAGTTTTTGCCCTATAGAATCTATTAAAACCATGGTTTTCCTTTAATATCCCCTTTCTTTGTGATTTTTTTTTATAAGTAAAAGGAAGGAGAGCTAAAACCTCCCTTACCATTATGAGATAAAAGGATTTTTTGTTTGTTTTGTTTTGCTTGATCGTATGAATGATTTCAGCAGTGTTTTTGTAAATGTTGATATGAAGACTTCAGCAGGTACATAATTGTGTAATTTTCTTTAGCTTTAATGGAGATACAAAATATCTCTTTTAGAAGTTTTCAAATTCCGACTGAAGTTAAAGGTGCATAACCTAAAACAGGCTATCAGTTGGTGGTCTAAATCAAATGATGTTTGGATTATCTCTTAAAAAGTTGTCAGAAGTAATTTAATGGCATTATTTTAAAATCAAGGTAATGACGTGTTTATTTTTCTCATCCTGTTCAACAACTAAAAAATGAGTAACTCCTACTTTTAACTCCTTTTGATTTTGGTTATATTTTAGTCAGTTAAGTAAGTTAATTTAAAACCTTGGATATGTTGGTTTTCATGATGGTACAATATTGGTTATCTTCTCTTTGTTTGAGAACCAGAAAAAATAGGGGCAATATAAGAAAAGTACAATGTGCTAAACAACTGTTAAGGCATTAATATTTTTTAAAATTTTCTCCTAACTTTGATGTCCTGGCATTTTGTGAAAATAAAAGAGAGTTTGTAATATCATTTTTTTTTTTGGTTCTGTAGAAGAAAAGATAATATATTATTTTTCTAAGAATGTATCAAGTTTATAGACAGAATATTTTGCATACTTTACACAGTTATCACATATGCAAATATTTTAGGGGCTATAATTTCTCTTTCACAAATCAAAGCCATCATAAAAGGAGATAATATGATAATTTATTAATAGAATACTTATTTGCTTCCATAATGTGAGAAACTCATTAAAAATAATCTATTAAGCTCCTTATAGTCATTCATAATATCATGAATAATTTGAAATTTTTTGTCACTAAGGGTAACAAATATACATATCTGGTATTATTTTTTTCTTTACTCGTGCAAATACAGAAGTTAATGAAGAAACTGGGCATGTGGAAGAGCAGTGGGGAGAAAAGCAGGGTGAAGAGGTCAAGGCAGGTCTGTCTGACTGTGTGTCTAAAATAAATAACTGAATGTTTTAGAAGTATGACTTTTCAATTTCACATAAGACTTTGGGCTCTAAATTTATAAATGCACAATAAAAAGTTCATTTTTCAGTATGGATTTTTAAATAAATTGCCTGATTTTATTAATGGAGAAATATTATATAAGCTATCTAATCTAGATAACTTACTAGAATATTTAATTTATCCATCTGAACATGTTCCTTAATATTTAAATCAAACTAAAATTATAGACAGTGCCTCTGATCAAATTCATACTTATCCTTTACCCCAACTCTGTATTCAGTTCATTTATTTATTAAAAACTGAGTTCCTACTGTGGGTTAAACTGAGTAGTATGTTACAGTCCTAGCCTCTTCTCTAAAGATTTTTGGTTTTGTAGAGGCAAATTACAAGTAAATATAGAGCAGAATATAAAGTCTATTAAAATTTTTAGGGACTATCACAATTTTCTTCATAAATTTTTTTCATAAAATGAGAACAATTAACCATATATTCCTGTTCTTCATCCCAGCTCAATATTGCTCTAATATTTATTGACAATCATAATTTCTTACTAAAGAGTCTGTCTTCTGAATGGTGTGGAAGGCCTTCATTTTGGTGTTTTTTTAAGTCCCTGTTATGTTTACATGTCATAATTTTTGCCACTTTCTTTGTCAGAATGTTCCTGAAAGGATTTTAAAACTTAAAATATTATATAATCAGTAAATGTATTAATATGCTTCTTTTATCAAATTTTCACTATTTTTATTTGAAACACAGAATTGACTCCTAATCTTTTCTAAGATATCAATTTTTTTAAAAAAGTTTAAATTTCTTTGAACGATGAAGAATAACTGTAGTCCTAATTTCATCATGTTTAACTCATCATCACTTTTCATTTGTGAACAGAAGAGTGTACTTTATGTGCCTTATGTTCTCTCCTTTTCAACTGTGTGAAAGCAATGTCCTTATGTATATTGTGCATAACATGTATTTTCAAGGCTGTATTTATAGTATAAGACACAAAACCTCTTAAGCTATAGTTACTGATTATCGGTAACTATTTTTAATGTCATAAAGATGAGAATAATCATCAGAGTGCATCTGACCACGAAACAAAGGCAGGTTTAGCTGCATTATTTCCAGAAATAACTATCTCTCTTCTGAGTATCACGCATCTTCCATTTTCCTGCAATGCTATAGGAATCCCATGTTTAGAGAATATGATAAAAAATGAATTTCATTTTAATTTAGCTGTACAATTAATGTTTTCCTATTTGCCCATTCTTATGTATCTCATATTAGTCCATATGAACACTGAAATGCTTTCACACTGTTCATGAATTGGCTTCTACAGGAAAGTCATTTTTTAGGAAATCATTAATTTGGAAGCTTCGGTGGTAGTTAATATTTTTATTTATTTTTCACTTCATTAAGATAAAGCCTATTTGTTGAACCAGATTGTCACTTATGCTTTATTCTCAAAATTAACTTAGTGAATACATCAATTATTAAGTTAACATAAAACCGTAACTATAATCTTTCTAACTTA